GGCAAGACTAGCGTAGCAGCCGAGGTAGGAGCAAACAGCAGGCGTTGTCCCCGAGAGCGTCCACCTTCCCCCCTTTCCAACCCTTCGTCCCCCTCCCCCTCCCCCTCCCCCGAATCAGCCACAGCGGCGCACCGGAGGAGGAACGCGGCGGGAACCCGGCGCAGAGCGGGGAGGTGCGACGCGAAACCCTAGGAAGAACAAAGACGAAGAAGAAGACCTCCGCCGGCGCAGACAGGAGGCGCGACGCGAAACCCTAGGAAGAACAAAGACGAAGAAGAAGACCTCCGGCGACGGCGGCGGCAACAGAGGAGCGGGCCGGCGAGGAAGAAGTAGGAGAAAAAGAGCGACGAAGGTCGTCGGGCCGACAAGGACGAGGAATGACCCTGCAGCTCGAGGACAGCAGAAAATTAAAGGGAAGAAACCTAATTGGGGAGAAACCGATGCACTTCACAATGGAGCCCGAGGACATTAGAAGGTAATGGATTCTTACCAACCCGTGGTAAGAAGCCGGAAACAAAGAGGTAAAGTAAAAGCTAAAGCTGATTAACGAAATCATGACCCTGTAGGCCGCGATCGCACGGTAGAAAACAATTTCACCGACATGGATGGTGTTTCTGCCGGAGGAGCATGGCGGCCTTGTCTAGGTAAATGGCATGCAAATATTTTCCAAACACCACCTCAAGGGTTTTTGGATTTTTTTTGGGTTCAAGAACCGCCACTTTAATGCGAGCTAAATCCCCAGCTCTGGTAAAAATCATGTCTACCATTTGGGTTGCACCAATCAAAGTCCCAACTGCCCACAGAATAAGGTAGTTTTCCCTCAGTTGCGGTGGTATGCCTTCCCCAAATTTTACAATCAATAAAAAAAACCTAGACGGTTCTTTACCTTACCTCTCCAAACTCGTCCATTCGAGCCAGCTCCATTGCATTGGGGAAAACAGTAAGAAAAGCATTATCGCCGTGCTCCTTGAGTTCCCATTGCCATGGAATTGGAACCAGTCTCTCAAGTTCTCCCTTCACTTGATCCATTGTTAGCACTCCACCCGTGGTAGTAACTAGACCCCAGGCAGCAGACCCTTTTGTATCATTGTATTCCCTATCTGTCACTGGTATATAGTGAAATCCCAAGCCCGGCGCACCATAACCAACGTTCTGTGCTACTGGTTTTGGTCCCTTTAGAATGGGACACCTGTGTGACACATGTGCCTTGCTCTCACAAATTTCACAAAACAAAGGTATTGGACAATCAGATGTCAGATGACCTCGCCTGCCACACTGAGAGCACTGCACTTTTGCCTTCTTTGCTCCTGCAGGACCTTGGATTGCCTCTGTCTCTTTGCCACTATCATTAAGCTGCCCAGCACTAGTAGTAGTATCCACTTGTATTGCTGCTTTTGAAGTATATATTATCATTGCACTCAATATCGGCCGGTGCACTTGCAGGTGCTGGTTTCGCAGCAGCTACATCTCGAACGACAGCATCAGCGGGCCCAGTAGTAGCATGTTGGTGTGTCCGATTGTGATAAGGATTTCTATTCCTCTGCTGGTATGTGTTGTTCCTTCTCCGATTCTGCCATCGATCGCGATCTCCGGCATAGCCAGGGTGGAAATCTCCATGAGGAGCCTGAGCACCACGACCAAATTGTTCTGTGCCCTGACCTGTGCCAAAACGATCTCCTCCATGACCACCGACACCATGCTGCGTTCCTCCATGTCCAGCAACAAAGCCTCCTCGCAACACCCCAACGCATGCAGTTCCGGATGCCTCCTGTTCCCGCCGCATGCATTTGCATGCTGCATCCACGTCTGACTTCGTCGTTTTTTTTTTTTTTTGCTTGACTCCAGCCCCTTCTCGCTGGACGTTGTTCTTGTTGGTTTTGTGGCCGGTGCATTGCAAAAGTATATTAAGGGATGTCGCACATGTTGCAAGTGTTTAAGAGGCATGTTGTAAGCGTTTGTTCAAAATGTTTCATCTGTTTCCAGACGTCAGTTGCAATCATCTTTTTTTCATATGTTTCACATATATGTTGCAACAGTATGTCTTAAATGTTTCAGCTGCTTTAGTCTTATGTTGTAGCACTTGGTTTTATGTTGCAAGATATAAATTTGAATATTTCGTGTGCTTAGCACACGTTACAAGTTTCCAAGTGTTTTAGTCCACACCCGCGACGGTGCACTTTGTTAGTCAGACCAAAGACTTGCTTTAAATGAAGCGGTGCAAGCATCGTGTACATACTGTAGCTGTTACCGTGGCCGGAGACTGGAGGTGGGCCAGCCGGGCAGTTGGTGCCGCACGGGGCGACCTGGAAACCGGTGGGCAGGTGCCTGTGGCCTACACCTACGGCGGCGCATCGCATTCGCATCAGACCCTGACACCCTGTTGACTGCCATGAGTCATGACCGTTGCTCCCAGGCCGCCAGTCCGCCACGCTCCGCTGGGCGCCAGTAAAATATCACTACCACTGATCGCCAGCTCCGTTCAGGTCAGCTGCACCTACGCCCATTCCATTCCTGGAAGCCCTCACACCTGCACGCACCCGTCCCTCGTCTCGTCACCAAGCCCCCAAGGCCTGGCTCGCCTTCCCCTCCCATCTTTACCGCCGGCCACGCCAATCCGTCGAAGAAGCCGTCCCAGCTCAACCCCACCACCGGCAAGCGGCAAAACCAAGAACCTGGTCCCCGCGCGGTCAATGCGCGCTGCTAAATATAAAGCAAATTAACACATGCGATGACAATTTTCCTCACTTTATCTTGCTTTTAGATAAAATATTAATGATCAAAACGGGTGTTAATGACCGTCAACAAGCTCCCTCAGCTATCCTCAGCTATCCTTTTGCTCGTCCCATGCAAAGATGTGGGTTTAATTAGCATGGTATTGTAAGTGTAGCATGTTGAATTAGGAGTTGCTACTATGTAACGCCCTGCAAAAACTTATATACAAACAAATACTATTTCTTGAATTGAACATGTTAACATTTGAAAATCCATCATCAGACTGGGGTTTATAGCTTTCACCTTGACATAAGCAATTGTAGGATTGAGTAGCTAGACAGATACTTTTTCCTCTACTTTGGTTTAGCTCAAACTTCCTGAAGGCTTTCAATGGATTTGAAAAGAAAACTTGTCTAAGTTTCTCAGATGGTACACTCAAGTCTTTCAATGGTGTTTGAAACCTCACCAAAGCCATGGATCTTAGCCTTAACATCTATCCTAAAGCTTGGTACACTCAAATCTCTCAATGGTGTTTGAAACCTCACCAAGGCCATGGATCTTAGCCTTAACATCTATCCTAAAGCTTAGACCCATGAATTTATAAGTTACACATGCGCTTCTCTGGTCTTGCTAACCTGTGTTATCCAGGTCCATTATCGACACATCCCTAATTCTTACTAAACCGTGTCATTTAGGTAACACAAGTGTCCGATATATGCGGACGCGCGTGTAGCACAGTGGCATATCTCCGGTGGTGGGAGCTGGCCAACCGGGGGTCGAACCCTGGTTCTGCACCGCTTGCTTCGTGCAAGCAAATAATTTCCAAGCGTTTGCCTCTCACACGTGATGCCACAATGGGATCATGACGTGCCCGTCGCCTACGAAATCAATGGATTTCGGTGATCTCAAGAAGGACGCGGTCTTCAGATCTGAGTGTAGCTATATGTTTGTTTGTACACGGGTGGTGTGTGTAGCGTGCGTGTGTTGAGTGGGCGTGCGTGTGTACGAACAGATGCTACAGTTGTACCCAGATGAGAGGCAATAAAAAAAGTGTTCGATATATGAACAATTATTTGTTTATATATGTTTTATATAAAAAGATTGAGGGAAGTTAGGCCCCATGCCTGGGCTGCTGTGCCTGTTCAAGAAAATTGGGGCTTGGGCTTGGGCCTTCCTAGCCATGGGCAGTCTTTTTTCCCTTTAAAAAACATAGGAAAAAGTCCACATCATCTCCTCAACTTTCGCGAAAGTCCTCCTTTTCTCCCTAAACTCCAAAACCGGGCAAAACACCTCCCTCAACTTTTAAAACCGTTCATCCTACCTCCCTGGCCCTGTTATAAGCAGTTTTGAAGGTGGTTTTGTCCTTTTCTTTTTTATTTATTTTGGCTAAATCTTTGAAAAATCATAGTAAATCATAGAAAAATTATAAAATAGAAAATCTAATTTTGTTGGACTCTTGGTGAGTAGATCTACACATGAACATATAATATGGTATGCTTTAGTACAAAGTTTTTGTTGTGGCTTTAGATCTATATTTTTCTGTAATTAATTGGAATAATTCATAGCTGCAGTTTCTATGCTCCAATTGTGATGAAATTTTTATGGTGGGTTAATTATTGTATGATTGAACTATAGTAAAAATTTCATACTCATTGGATCATGTATAGCTTAGTTATATATTTTTTTTTATTTAACAAGCATAAACCTAAATAAATTCTATAACTAAATTATACATGATCCAATGAGTATAAAATTTTTACTACAGTTTAAGCATACAATAATTAGCCCACCATAAAAATTTTATCACAATTAGACCGTAGAAACTGCAACTATGAATTATTTCACTTAATTACAAAAAAGCATAGATCTAAAGCTACAGCAAAATTTTTGTGCTAAAGCATACCATATTATATATTTACTGTGTAGATCTACTCACGTGGAGTCCAACAAAATTGGACTTTCTATTTTATAATTTTTCTGTGATTTATCAAAGATTCAGCCGAAATAAATAAAAAAGAAAAATCGCTTATAACCAGGCCAGAGAAGTAAGATGAACGGTTTTAAAAGTTGAAATAGGTGTTTTGCCCGATTTTGAAGTTCAGGGAAGAAAAATGGACTTAACTTGGACTTTTTTCAAAAACATATGGAGGCCCAAAAGTCCACAACCCTGCTAAACAAGCTAAGACAGGGAGATGGGCTCGCTTTCGTTGGCCCAACAGCCCACGTCTAAATGGAGCCGAAAGGAACCCAACCTAAAGAAATCATCCGGCTCAGCCGAACCGGCCCCGATGTCGCTGGTCGCCTACGACGCCTCCTCCGACGAGGAAGACGCCGGCGAGCCTCCCGCCGCAGAGGCGCCACAGCCTGCCCCTATCGGTCCGCAGCCAAGGCCTCCGTCTCCTTCGACGGCGGTGGGCGCAGCTCATCGGCCTACGCCGCCGCCGCCGGCAGCCAGCCAGTAAGCTTCTCCCCTCGCTGTCTTCTCTCTCTAGGGTTTCGCTTGTAGAGATGGGTTTTGCTTGGTAGGTGACCAGCTGAAGCGGCTGCCTGATTGAGTGTGCTGTACTGAAAGCTGAAGCTACTGGCTATCGAATCGCTGTACTAGCAAACCCTGCATCAATACGATTGTTTCGCTTTCCCATATACTTAGCTCACAGTAGCACGACATCTCTGGTAACGAAGGTTCAATTCGGAATGATTATTGGCATGCATGCGTTTTGCAATGCGGAAATGCTATATAACACCGATGCGATTTATTTCTACACTTCTATACATATCTGTTCATCAGGATGTGCTTGCCCTTTCCCTTTATAATAGCACAGCTTCATCCCTTCTCTTTAGAAACCACGGAACAGGCAAGACACCTCTACATCTACCTTTTTCCCCTTTTATAAACATATCAATATATTCAGTTCACAAGCTTAGCAGCAGCACTCAAGGGAACCAAATTTAATCCAACTAAACACTGTATCTAAAATGATAAGGTTGGTCCAGGGACATCTCATTGACCACAATGGTATTCCCTATTTTGAAATGTTTGGAATGCTTAATGGTGTCTTATGAATGCAACCGACCTCATGTAGAGTACATTTTTGTTTATGGCCAAAGTAACTATGTGTGAACGTCAGTCACGGATAAATTCTGGAATGATAATGCATTTGTTCACTACTGCTACTGCATTGGGTTCTTCACAGTCCTTCCTCTTAATGCTCACCATGTACCACAATTAGATGATGATTATGTTCTACTTTAGCGTGCTAGTATAAATCAATCTGGAAATTTTTTACTTATATAAGACCCAATCGATTTGGTGGCGTTTCTGGGTCGTGCTAGATTTCTCTTACCATGGTTTATACAGGCTGCTTGTCGTCAGAACGAGGCACTAAGACTGTTCTGCTCCCTTTGCATGGGCCTGATAGTTTCTCTAAACTCGAACAAGTAAGAAAGAGCATATTTGCCTTGTCCCTGATATTCTTCCTCTCTTTTGGGAAAGGAAATAAAGGGTTCTCCTAATAGGATAAGTTGGATTATTGAATGCCCTGTGATGCTTTGGTTTATTGGGCAAAAATGTTGCAATTGATATTGGTTATTTAAAGCAGACACTTCCCTTCTGCATTTAATCTCCTTTATTTTGGTTATTGGCATTGTTTTTGTTTCTTCTGATTTTTTTTTTCAGTTTTAGCTGCATGCTGAAGTGTTATTCTGGATGTATACTTGACTACTTGTCAGTTTCCTAAATGCACAGCACATTATTACCAGTACCCCCACCATTTACTTTATAGGTCTGATATGGTATTGTTTAGTTCTGAACTAATTGTTTTGGTCGTTTTGGTCCAGGAGTGTAGCACTGATTAATTCGAGTAACGTTTCTCTGCCCACACCATCATTAGACCTACCAGATGTTGCAGACCTCTTTGCTCCCCCTGCAGACAATGCATCAAGGAAGAGAGAATCAAACGGGTCTGCTCTTCATGACTCGCGCAGTAAAATTCCAAGGATGCAATCACAACCCCGAGGCATAAGAAGTGCTGCAGGGAACACTCTAATTCCACCACAGCTTCGTGGAAGGTTAGTTTTTTCTTCTTCTCTTCATGTCTCTTTCGGTGTCATGTGGGATCACCTTATTATATGTATTCTCTCACCCCTCAGCTAACCAATCAAATGCTGTTTGTGGGCTCACTCCCAGAATGTATTTGCCAATTGTTCACATTATGTATTTTGTATCCCTGAGTAATGTCTATCTTTGGTTATTGCTTCACAGGAGCAATGTTGTTACTGAAGACATGAGCAAACTCTTTGTGGCTAAACGAAAAGAGTAGCATCTTAACACTTTCTGAACAAGAACCTATTTGGACTTTATAGACACATCTACTGGCTCCCATAGTCCCCTGGATGTGGCGGCATGATTCAACGATGTTGCTGACTCCTAAAGAACTGAAGGAAGGATGTTAATGGTACCGCAACCGACCCTGTTCGCTGATGCTTATGCTTATGCTGAAATGTTGTGAGAGGAAAACATTGTTTCATGGCTGAAAAGTAGTTCGGAATAAGCTCAAGCGAACAGGGCTCTCTTAGAACATTTATTTGGTGCTCACTTGCGTTTCCATGTTCAACGATGCTACATGCCTGATGTTGGATGCATGTAAACTCTGTTATGTTATGGCAGCTAGACACTGCTGTTCTGTTAGGAGTTACTAGGATTAGATGTAATAACTCCATTTGTCTTTTATTCGGTGACAATATGTATTCCGCCACTGGTTTAACTACGTTCAGGCAGCATTTACGCTAGTATATTTTAATACTGAAGGAATGCTGTGAACTACGTAATTGTCTCTTAAGATTCTGCTAGCGAATGAGATTGTTTCTTTTTAACAAAGTTTTCACATAAGCTAATTCTACGCCTGTTGTAAATTGTAACCTATCACAATCATCCTTCTCCTGCACCATTGCAGTTGGACCAAGATTATCATGTCCGGGACAGGTAAATTTGGTCAAAGACTTTGACCAAATTTATTTATTTCCGCTCGGCGTGTGTAATTTATTTTCCCCGCAAAAAAAAAATGTTCGCGCTCTCGGCCACCGAAATTTTCCTCCAAATTTGCTTCTTTCCTCCAGAAGGAAGCGCGGTTTTGGCTTCCCGAGTACGCTTCTCCCGCGGCGTTTTGCTTCGGAAGGAACTGGCGCTCCCTCTTTCAGCGCACTCATCGTCTCTCCTCCGCTGCCCCCCACTCCCCCCATCCACCGTCGGCCGTCGCATTTGCACCCCACCGAACCCGGAATCGATCTTGCTCGCTTCGATCAATGGCGGACTAGCGCCGAAGCGAAGACGCGAGACTGCGAGATTTTGACTTATTCCCCGCAAACGGAGGTATAATCCCTCCGTTTCCCCCAATATTTTCGTGGTTTTTTTTTTGCTTGTTCGTGAATTTGGACGATCATGTTCTCCGCACCGCTGAATCGTTCGTTTCTCGCCGCGGACGAGGGGGATTTTGCTCGAACCTCTGATCGATGATTGTTCTACGCGGCCTCCATTAACATCGTCTGTGGAGTACGGGGGGCTTCTCTCCTATCCCCTATTGTACTCCTAAACCTCAAGCCAAACCCCTTCCATGTTTACACGGTGGGGATTTTGGCGATTGCTTCGTGATGAGCGCAATGAGCGTGAGATTGTCAAGCCGACGCGTCTGTGAAACTAGTAGTTGTGATTATATTTCAACAAATATATCATAGCTTGCTAATCACAGCTGGTGCTTCAATCTTCAGGCATAAGATTGGCTGCCTTAATAATTGTTATTGACACTCTTTGCGTTATTACTGAATCCTAGGAAGATAAGGTGTCATGTTCTTCAATGCCATTTCCAATATACCACTAGATGCTATTTTGTAGTCTAATCTCTTTGGTTGGCTGTCTAATCTTGGTTTCTGGCAACAACTGACTGCTGTATTGCCATTCCATGGTCTACTAGTCTAGGCAATGCCTTTAATATGGATGCACATAATTTCTGTGAACACAGTCTGCCCTTAATCTCAACATTTACCCATTGCTACTGGCTACCACATTTAGTTTTCCATCCTGCGCGACTTATCTTGAAACTCTGCTTGCAGTTGGTTGTGTTGCCGTAAATCAGCATCCCCCAGGACACTAGGATAGAGCAACATGTGTCATTTATCTTTCTTGTAATCGTACATTTTTTTTCTCTGTGGACATGTGTTTCTGTATATCTGCATTTGAATACTTTAGATGTTTCCAAATGTTCCTTTCACATTTGCAGTTTTGGTGTTTATATACGCATCTTCCGACCATTTGAATTTGGAAAAGATTTCAGCACTAGTATCAAGTTTTGGTTTTTCTTATCAATTCAATAATCGCACCATGACTTGTCTGATGTTGGTAACACCATTCACAGTTTCAATTTTATAGGTTCTGCTTGCCTACATCTGCCAGCAACCACAGCTTGGGTACAATGAGCACCGCAAGAGTTCAGGGAAGATTAGATTACCTTAATTCACAGGAGCCTGGTGACGAATCACAGGCTACTGCTATTGATATTGTGGAAAGGCTGCTGGTAGAAGATGACATAGGCACTTCTCAGAAAATGAGTGCTGAGCCAATGAGTGGAACAAAGTCAGCTTCTATATTAGGCACAAAAGTAGCCCAATGCCTGGCCAAAAGACAGATATTTTTGTGAACCCAATGATTGCTGTAGCCCACTCCAAAAGACAGATATTTTTGACTGGGCTGATGCTTCCAGTAATGATGAATGCACAGCCATTATGATTTCCAGGAAAAAACAAAGGATCCATGCTAATACTCAAGCGAAGAATTTGACCTCCCAGAGATATGGTGGCAGTGGATCAACTACCATTGTTGGTTCCATACTAGAATGTAACGGTGGTGACTCAGGCTTGAGTTCTTTTAAGAAGCCAGAGCCTCTTGGTTCTACTGATGATTTATATGATGCATATGATATTGGGCCATGTACTGAGATGGCAGCTGAAGCCATGGAAGCATTGTCCAATGCATCAACTGTCAATCATGTAGTCAGGGAGAATGCACATCCTGAAAGCTCAGTTCTTAGAACAAACTTGGGAAAAGAAAGCAAAGCCAATAAGATATGTTCTGAACCGCCAATTCAAAAGCGAATTGGTGGAAGTTCAAGGTCTGTGAAAAAGAATCCCAGCAAGTCAAAAGACAAGAAAGGTCCAAAACAGATGGCAGGGAAAGCAAAAGGAAGCATGGGCAGTATCACTATAGAGGGAGATACAAATCGTGAGGTGTCAGAAGGAATCAAGGGATCTGGTCCAAGTGATTCAAATATTGTCGGCTCTGATGCTGTAATCCACCCTAAAAGGAAGAGGACCTACACGTTTATCTCAAGAAGCTCGAAAGTTCAATTCAATAAAGCTGGGAGCTCAACTACACTTAGTTCCAAAAGTACAGGAGTAGCTGACTCATCAACAACAAATCAAGTTAGCCTATCTGGCCCTGATTTAAACCAGCTTGCCAGATTATTAGAAAAACAATCCACATCTGCACAAGAAGATCATGACCCTAGTTTGATAAACAGAGTACCACTGAGGGAGCTAAATAGCAAACGCTCCCAATTTAGGACACAAATATCAATGAAGCCACTGAAGAGAGGACTTGTGAAATCACCAGGTTCCAGAGAACTTGCCGGTCTGTTAAGAAATGAAGCATCTCCAGTTTTGCAGACAAGCAGGCAAAGAAGAAACATGTCCAAAGTCCATGTTCTGTTGAGCCAAAGCATGGATAAGGAAACCATCAAAATGCAAACAAAGGTAGTGGTCCAATACATTAGTTATACATATTAAAAACAGTATTTAATGGTCTGTTGATGAATCCCATCTTTTTTTGGATGTTGGCAGATATTGATATACTTTGGACTACCAGTGGCGACAACTATTTCAGAAGCTACACACTTTTGTTGCTGAAAAGTTTGCCCGTACAAGGAACATGCTTGAAGCAATAGCTATGGGGATACCTGTAGTCACGCCATCATGGCTTCAATGCTGTAGTGAAGCAAGGTGCTTCATTGATGAGAAGAAATACATTATGAGAGATATGAAGAAGAAAAAGGAGCTAGGCTTTAGCATGCATGTCTCACTTAGCAGAGCCTGCAAAAAACTATTGCTTCAGGTTTTCCTCTAATTTCTTATGTGAAGAGTCCAATTGAAATGGGGAAAGCGAATAGTGACAGAGGGCAGTTGTATTCTCTTTTATGTCAAGAGAAAACTCAACATTTACAGTACGCTTACAGCATTCCTTTTGTAATATTATCATAATGTTTCCAGAGGGTTTGAAAATCTGTTTCAGGGTAGAAGAGTATTAATCACACCAAACACCAAGCCTAGCAAGGAGCTTCTGAAAAATTTAGTAGTTGCAGCTCATGGTCAGGTATGCAATCTGTAATCTACATATCCGTATCAGTCTACCATCACACTGTCCTTGGTAGTATGAACCATGTAGCCATAGGGCATATAAATAGAAAATATCCTATAATATGCTTTATGTTTTACTGCACTTCATATAATTTGTATGATCTCTATACCTGCTAGAATTCCATTCTTGGTTCCATAATTTTCATTGGCTAATTTACTCTAGTGCTAAATAAATTTTGTCAGTCGCTGGGGAGAATCACAGTGTTAGGTTCGCTACTCGTTCCTCTCAAGTAGTAGCCGTGCGAGGTTGGTGGGCGGGGCTTGGGCTCTCGACAGCGGCGGACGCGCGACGCCGTCCTGAAGTCCGGCGTCGAACTGGAACACGTGAGAGTGTAGTTACTCGAGAGCGGAAGAGATTGACTCAATCTCCAGCTGCCTTTCATTAATCAAGTGTGCGGGCTATATATAGCCACATGCTAACAAACTGAATGTTCCACAAATTAAGCAACAAGATCTATCTGATCTAACAAACTGACTACGAAATGCAATCCAAGATCCTAGGAACGAGGACGCCGCCCTGGGCGCGATCACCCCTTCGTCGCCGCGCTCTGCGCGCTTCACGCCCGCTTCTTCAGCCACGGTTACGCTTCCTTCGCTGGTACACTTGGCCCACCATAACACACAGCCTCTTCAATGAAGAACAAAAATTTTGAGGGGACCTTTGTAATCTCTTGTGAACAAGATCACAGTGTCTGTATGCCATTAATTGAGAGTGGTACATGTTATGAATTTTTCCTCCCAAAACCTTTTTCTATTGCTTCGTCCATTTCTCGCAATTCATCAAAAAGTTCTGTACAATTGTTGCAGGTCTGGAAGTTTTTGACTCGGAGCTTCTTCTGAATGGTATTGTCACTCAGAGGCTAGAGTTCGCCAGGTACATGCTTGCTATCTTAACAAGCTAGAATCATGCTGTCTTGAACATTTTGATATTGATGAAATCTACCCTGCTTTCTAACTCTGAAAATGGCATCTTTTGTGTTTCAGGTATCGCCTCTTTCCATGAATAAACCATATGAGCGCAATCTGGATAGGTTCGGTTCTGGTACCATGCAAGGCAGACAAAGCACTTCTGTACATATGCATCCTATGGCCCCTGCAGTCTTGCCTGTATTTATCTTTCGAATCTCTGGCCCTTACCACTACTATTTGCTTTCTATTGGCTCTTGGAACACAGGCCATGTGGGAGTTTTGGTATTCTTTTGTTGTATGGTTGTGACCATGTTAGCCTATGTTAAAACTAAGTACCTACATGGATTGGATATATCATTCTGCCAATGAGCCTATTCATAGTGGTAGAACCAGTACATTCGGTTGGTGTTTTCATGAGGGAGCAACGTGTAAGGATTTGGACCCAATGGTTGCAGGGCCTGTGTTTATTGTATGACAGAGTGAGCAGTATAATCAAGCACTAAAGAATTTATCTGTTCACCTACTCGAACCAGCTCCAATGGAACTGAGTTCCTACAGAACTCGATAATGTGTTGGCTTATATACATCTAAGTGCAGTTCCTTTTTGAAGTGGCACCTATATAGAGCCTCGCCTCTTGTAGCATTTTCTTTATAATATTTTGTCCAGATGCAGTCAGTATGTAGCTGGTATTTTTTTTATCCATAACAACACATACTAATGGTAATGTGAGTTGTGAGGAAGAGAGCAATGGCATCAAGAACTCCTGTTTATTGCTGAAAGCGTGATGCATTATGTTGGGATTAGGGGGATACTGGAAACAAGTAGTCTTGTTAAAACAGCAGATCAAGAGCCAGATTCTGGTTTGTAGTTCTTTGTATCGCTTCTTGTTTCTATGCTATTGTTGTGGATGTCTGGCATTTCTGCCCATCATGTTAAAACTGGTGTGTCCCCCAACCAGCTCTTTATTTCAGAACCTATCATGCAGGAGTCTGAGAGGTATGACAGAAAATTGTAACATTCTACTCTAAAAAAAGGAAACTTGTCTACTCAAAGTTGTGGTAAAATCAACTAGGATGGTTTGGTTTTCATGAAGCAGCAGCATGTGAGGATTCAGTGTGTTTTAGAGCAGTGTTCATCTACTACTCTCACTGATTCACTGGTCATCTCATTCTAGAGGATATCAGGAGCAGGAGCAGCAGTGCAGTGTTCTAGAGGATGGATACAAATAACAAGATATATAGCATCCCAGTGAACAGATGAGCATGAACCAAAGCCAATAAGAACTAACTTAACCCAGCGAGAACCATAGATAAGGTTAACCGACAAATCAGATAGTAGGGACTCTAATAAGTTCTCATCAGCGCAAGTTTTAACACGACGACAGAGCAGCTAGCGAACGTGAATCAAGCACGTACACGTGCATACATAACAATAATTGTCCTGAAAATACTGTTGGCTATTTTGTTACGAGAGAAAAATATTGTTTGTTAGCTGAAAAAGTACGGCTTATAAACTAAACGAAAAAGTACGGCTAATAACGCCACAGCCCAAAGACAGCACAACCTTAGACGATGGAGGATCTGAGTTTGTTTATTTATTAGTCCAGCCGCAACCGGACAGCCGGACAGGCCACACACACGTCAGGGCTCAGGTTGGTGCAGGCTTGAGGCTTGACTCGCCTCCGGCCTGGGTCATGGCGCTGCCTCAGCCTCGTCAGTGGACAGGAACGAGTCCTCCTTGGCCCCGCCGGCGCCGGTCACCTTCACCGTCGTCTCCACCACCAATGGACTTAGATGAAGCACAATCATAGCTAAGGGATCTTGTAATGGGATCACCGTGTAGTTGGCGAATCCAGCCTCCAAGAATATCGTCTTCCACTGACGCTCATCCCTCTCGAAACCGTGGCCTCTCATCATGTAAAGATCAAGAGTTGCGCCTCAGTTACCTGTTTGCTTGTCTCCCCCCTATGCCCAAGAACGGTGTTGTTGATGAACACCTTTCCTCCCGTTGGTGGTATCGCTTCCTTGCAGCGTTTGAGTATCTTTATGCATGAGGCATCGTACAAGGGCTACCTTGAGTAGAACAGCTAGCATCTGCTGGCGGAATTGACTCAAACATATCGCCTACCACGAACTTGACCGTCCCGCCGCACTCAGGTGCGCTGCTGACCACTTGCTGGAGGTCCATCACGGTGCACTGCATGTCCGGAAAGGCTGCAACGATAGCAGCCGTGGCCGCCGCCGACATCCGTCAGAGTCTTCAGGCCCTTGAAATACCCACCGGCCTCTTTGATCACAACCTCCATGGTGAATCGGCTATCCGCCACACTAGCTCTGTTCATGGCATCGTTAAACGACGCGTCGCTCTGGGTGAGACTCCAAGTGGACGTACCGTGAGCCGCCTCGAAAACAGTCTTGGTACTAGTTGGATCTCTGAACCAACGCTCAAGGTCGAAGAAGGTTGACACAGTGGTGCTGGGGCGCGTGAACAGCAGCAGCATGTGGGACAAGTCGCACGTCGAATCGTTGTCGGCCTCCTGGACGAGGAGCCGCGACGTCGGAGTCAGCTTGTACACCGTCTGGCTTTCAGCTGACGCAGACTCGTCGTCATCCTCCTGGAACAGCCCGAAGAAGGCAAGGAAGCGCAGGAGGCGGCTGAGGTATGGCGCCTTTGCCGGGACGAGGCCGATCTCCTTGATGAGGTCGGAGACGGTGGCCGCCCCCGCCGCCGCATTTGATAGCAGTTGGAATGCCCAACTCCACGGCGCACTTCCGCCGACTTGAAATGGGCTGAGGCTAAGGCTGAACAGGTGACCGTACCCTTGCAGCATAGGTCTCAACAAAATACTCGTGGCTCGTGGCCGGCTCAAGCTCGACTCAGCTCGTTTTAATTTTTTTACGAGTTGAGCTGGAAGTCTAGCTTGCTATTTTAACGAGTCAACTCGCGAGCTGCTCACGAACTGAAGCGAGTTGAGACCTATCAGTCCACGATCATGAATCCAGAAGATAATGATACTGACCTAGAAGTGTACACCTATTCTATCGGTATGTAATCCTTATTTTTAGCTGTTTCATATGAATTTTAATTTTATAATTGTTGTGGTATTTAAATGTTGATTTTATGGATTGTTTTCCAGAGAGAAGATGATGATACTGACATTGAATATGTGGACTTTCCTAAATTTATGGTGACGAGCAACTAGTTAGTATGCTGAAACTGCATGATCATGAATGAACCAGCTATGTTACAGGGTTGATACTTTTGATGAACCTGATATGTATTAATTATGTATGGTTGCATAATGATGAACGTCACCTTTTGAAATTAATGTAGCATAAATATTATAAACATGTGTGTCCTATTTTTTTTAAGTAGCTCGCGAGCTAAATGAGCCAGCTCAAATTCGGTAACGAGTCGAGCCGAGCTGCCCCTCTAGCTCGTAATATTAACGAGTCAAGCCGAGCTGGCTCGTTAGCCTAACGAGCCAGCTCGAGCTGGACCGAATTCGACATGGTGTCGCTGCATGCAAAAGGCAGGAACAAATTGGTTCAAAAAACATGCCAAAGCGAAAAGAAAAATATTGTTCCGGCTGAAAAAAGAAGCCGAATAAACCGGCTTTTAAGGTAAGCCGAATGGGGCCAATTATATTCCTTTTTTTTTTGAAAAAAAGAATTGGCATTAGAGACTAAGTATGTATATAATCAATCATATATAAGCTGCAATTATATAAAACAACAAAGGAACAAAACAATTATATACTAGCACACATAACAGTGTGTGACACACTGTTTTGGTGGTGACCACCTGGCATGATGCATGACCACCAACGGGCAGCGTAGTTCTAGCATGGACGTATCGACAGCTATGTGTTGCCTGCCGTCGCACCTCAGGACATGCAAACCTTGGAGGTTGCTCCTATATACTCCAGGTTTGGTGTTAGGAACGATGGCCCGTTGGGAGCCCCCTTAATAATAGTTTACCGGTAAGTACTTCGGTTCACTATATTCTTCGAGGCAGTTATATATGATAAAATTATTAATGGCTAATTCATTATCGTGTTCAATGCAGCGATGGAACGGGCAGGATACACTCCCTATAGCTCTGTATATCTGGACGGAAGCAGAGTTAGTTAGAGGGAATGCGTGGCGCAAGTACAGGGAGTACACGGACGGTCTCGACGTCCTGACACAACACCAGGTTACGCTCTCTTTACTATCATACCTGTGTCTTCTTCGATGTACACTATATCACAACCTAACTCAATTACGAAATTTCAGGTGCATTGGTGTGCTTGGGATTCTCCGGAGCTCCAGGACTATCTCAGTCCTGTCACTAGGGACGAGTCAGACGAGTATCGCTGCGACGTCCCTCTTATTTTCTTCCATGTGGTCGAGATTCACTTGCCCATCCGGGTCTGCAGACAGTTTGGAAGAATGGCAGACTGTCCACCACCGCTTTACTCCACCAACCAACAATTGCACGGGTGCGTTATTGATTAATAACAATGCTACAATTCAGCGGTGTGTGATACAACTAACATCGTTTTGCTGTAGGTATGACCACAGGAAGAGGTACAAGACCAAGGATTGGCACGTGACACACAGCGTGCACATCCATTTGTGGCAGAACAGGGTACGACTTCCGGTCTATGCGGGTCCTCCACACGACCAGCACACCTTCGACGAATACCTGCGGTGGCTTCACCGGTCTACGAGGACACATATCAAGCCCCCGTACACTGAGGAGGCAATTGACAAGGACTCGGAGGAAGATGTCATCAAAGATGTGTACGACACTACCACTAGGGAGGACACACAGATACAGAGAGCCCCGCTTCAAAGATACGTGGTAATATACTTGAATGGTACAATTTGTTATCCTTTTGGTATTAAGTATGTGTACTAAAACTGTCCAACCGCGTTTCTGTACCCAGACGACACAATTGTCAAGGCTGTCCAACGAAGCAACGTTTCGGCTTCACGAGTCTAGAGGGCAAGGGCCAGGCGTTCTCGTGGCTTTTGTGGAGGTAAACATAAATTTGTCCGTTCCGAAAATATTTCTTTAGTGTATATGCGTTTGGGTAATGAACTAACTTTAACGTCTATTTATGCAGAAAATGAAGAAGAACTGCAGGAAGCTAGCTCAGAAGCTGAGCTGCAAGGACACTCCTTATGAGGAACCGCCACTCCCGGCGTGGTCGGGTGGCACGTCTTCAGCCTCTTTGAGGACATCAGCCGGCTCTTCTCAGCCGATGACAGGTGCCACTTCCACGGTGCGTACACCACCACATCATAGCACTGGGAAGGACCCTGCAACCGAGGACGACGATGACGACGACGACGACCCCCCGGGCTTCCGCAGACAGCACGACCAGTGGGACGATTGACCGCAGGACGAGATCGACATGTCTCAGCTAGGTGGTGCCCCGCTTGGTACCTAAGAGCCTCACATGTACTATCAAAGATAGTTTCTTTAAATACGTAGGCTTCATGAACTAACGATCATAAAGAATTATAAGTAATCGTGCGTATCATATACTTGCAGGGTACGAGCCGTACGCACCGTCGACACGATCATACCGACGTTGGCTACACTCCCAATATGTTGCCAACAAATCCGAAAAGACAGAGGCGTCTGAGGGATCGTTACACTCCTAGGTCTTAATTTGTTAGGTCAAGCGAATATTGGCGTCCAAAACTTGCGAGGTTATTTGGTTATGTTATGTCAAACTTATGTCAAAATAATGAAAATGTTATGTGGCAGCTTGTCAACTTGCGTACGGACTTCATTTATTTGCTTCATATTCGTTTCTTTGCGTCGCGGCAGCACTCCCGGTGAGATTAAGTACCAACTAGTCCGGGAACCGGCAGTCCGGCGTATCTCGGCGCGCCGGTGGTAATTTTTCATGTCGATTAGTTAAAGCGGTGGTTAACCGTATTATGAAAGACGGAAAACAAATCATTGGCTTATCAAATTCTCTATTCGTCCGTGAAAAAATCAACAAAAGCTGAAACAAAACTACTATTGATTTTCGTCAAGCAATATTTAGAATAACTCCCACTATCGGTAGCGATCGTTCCGATTAAACCGTCCGGTACCAATGGGCGGGCGGTGGCGATGGCGGCGGGCTTCTTTGCTTTCGGGCAGGGGATCGGCGCGGTATTTATTGGCCCGGCCGCGCCCACGGATCGGAGCGCGCAACTGCCAGCGCCAAAGGTCGATGGCGGTGGCGAGACTCGCCACGTCAACGATCCCCGAATCCGGTCGTCGCCACGTCAGTCCGCTGCCGCGACACCATGCATGGCGCGGCACAGACATTTGGCCGCGCCAGGGCAATAGGCGCAGCCAAAAATGTTAGTTTTTTTTTTTTTAAAAACCGACCATGTTAGATTTAAATTAGTTATCAAAAAGTGTTAAAATTAAAAAAAAATCATCGCCGCCGACTTGAAATGGGCGAGGCTAAGGCTGAACAGGTGACCGTACCCTCGCATACTCGTGGCTCGCTAACTCGCTCGACTCGTGGCCGGCTCAGCTCGGCTCGACTCTACTCGTTTTAACTTTTTTACGAGTTGAGCTCGAAGTCTAGCTCGCTATTTTAACGAGCCAGCTCAAGAGCTGCTCACGAGTTAAAGCGAGCTAAGACCTATCAGCCCACGACCATGAATCCAGAAGATAATGATACTGACCTAGAAGTGTACACATATTCTATTGGTATGTAATCCTTATTTTCAGCTGTTTCATATGAATTTTAATTTTATAATTGCTGTGGTACTTAAATGTTGATTTTATTGATTGTTTTCGGATTGTTTTCTAGGGAGAAGATGATGATGCTGGCATTGAATCCGTGGACTTTTCTAAGTTTGTGGTGGCAAGCAACTAGTTAGTATGCTGAAACTGTATGATCATGGATGGACCAACTATGTTACATGGTTGATACTTTTGATGAACCCAATACGTATTAATCATGTATGGTTGCATAATGATGAACGTCATCTTCTGAAATTAATGTAGCATACATATTATAAACATATGTGTCCTATTTTTTTTATAATAGCTCGTGAGCTAAACGAGCAAGCTCGAACTCGGTAACGAGCCGAGCCGAGCCGCCCCTCTAGCTCGTAATATTAATGAGCTGAGCCGGACCAAGCCGGGCCGGATATTCAGACCTGCCCTCGCAGCATCTCGCTGTTCTGCTCTCTATTCGACATGGTGTCGCTGCATGCAAAAGGCAGGAACAAAAGAATGGGCATTAGAGACTATGTCAATTCAATTATATTCCTTTTTTTTGAAAAAAAAAGAATTGGCATTAGAGACTTAAGTATGTATATAATCAATCATATATAAGCTGCAATTATATAAAACAACAAAGGAACAAAACAATTATATACTAGCACAAATAACAGTGTGTGACACACACTGTTTTGGTGGTGACCTCCTGGCATGATGCATGAGCGCCAGCAGCAGCAGAAGCATCGCCGCGACAGCCTTCATGATCGATGCACGTACGTACCTTCTTCGGAGCTGTCGATCGACCTCTGCTCTGAAGAGTGAAGACGAAGGTGCGCAGATGTATCGAGAGATCGATGCTAGCTGCGTTGCGTTGGGTTGAGCCGGATATTGGCATCGATGATCATGTACGTGTTGGCGTTGCCTGGGGGGAACGTGCATGTGCTGCGCATGAGAGATGTGTGAAGTGAACGCCGTGCCCAACTTGCCGCAAGCAGCAACATCTGCGTGAGCGGAACAGAAACTGACAGGGGGGCCGTTCGGCTGGCTGGTTGCCAGCCAGCTGGCTGGTTTTATTTCTCACAAAATCACTATTCACGTCCTGCCAGAATAGTATTTTTCTCTCACAACAATCAGCCGGAACAGTATTTTTCAGTCCTGCCGAACAGGCCCAGGGTTGCTGCAGCTGCTGGCAGGCCTCATCACTTGACCGAAAACATGCACCTGCTGCTCTGGAAAGCTGCCCGCAGCTGCTCCACCCCCGCATGTGCATGTACTCCTCCGTCACTGAACGTTAGTCGTCACGTTTTACATATCGATAACTTTAACTCGATTTATAGAAAATATATGTAACATTTCTATCTCCAAATAAATTTATTAAAAAAATAGATTCAAATATTTATCAATGATACTAATTATGTATCATAAATATTAATATTTTTGAATATATTTTTATTCAAAGTTGTTTTTCGGGAAACGAAAATGACAGACATCAACCCTCGTTGCAAGTGCTTACGTACGAAATACAAAGATCAAGAACGAATCCTACGCAACCTCGCAGTCCATCCGTCTAATAAGGCACGAAAAGCGTATGACCGAGTAGAAACAGAACCCTCGTTGTAAGTGCTTTCAACAAATCTCCAAAAATCAGCAAATGAATGAAGTATGCGCGTCGCTGAGCTACCAAAGATCACACAATTCCCATTCAACATTGAGACCATCGCGCATCATTGTCAGCGGAACAACATCCAGCGCAGGCTCCAAAATGGGAACCTGCACAGGACGGTCAATGTTTCCGTTCAGTCAATCGCAAAAGACAGGTTACATCAGTATCTACTACACTACGAGTTATCCCTACGAAGTCACACCTTCGACAACGTCGCCCCCCTCAAGAGTCACTACTTCCTCGCCTCCGGAGTCACGGCCTTCGCCACGCCCACATCCATGGTCGCTTCGCCTAAACCCTTCAAAGGTACGGCCTCCTGGGCCACGTCGCCACAAGCAACTACTGCACCCGGAGCCGCTTGAGAACTCCCAGCAACATTTTCCTTCGGAAGAAGCTTTTTAGCCTTCGATGCCTAATAAAAGTAGGCAAAGCCAAAACCTTTAGGCCAATAAGATACAATCAGCAAACAAAGCGGATAAAATAGTAACGGACTCACCTCAGCCCAACGAGTCTCGACCAGTGTAAGCGCATGATCCCGTCCAAACTGGGCCCAAAATTCAGACATATACCTTCGACCATAGTTGTTAAGGCGTCGCTATATCGACGCCATATCATCGCCATATCGCCGTGGCGTTTTTCTGGCTCTCGCCACGGCGACGCCACGGCTCCAGCGTGTATGGCGTCCGCCATAGCGCCGTGGCGTCCCCGTGGCGCCGATTTGGCGTCTGTGCGGGCGCTTTGTGTGGCGTGGCGCGCAATAAACGGTGAGGATGAGGGTGAGGCCGTGAGGGTACTGTATAGGCCGAGTGGTTGATTGGAGCCCTCGAGACCGAGCCGAGACGCAACCGCAAGCAGCCCTCCGAGCGCGCCGCGCCGCGCCGGATGTCGCCCTCCGCCCACCCCGCTCGGAAATCCGTCCGCCGCCCTCCGTCGGCCTCCCCCGCCCTCCGTTGGCCTCCCCCGCCCTCCGTCGGCCTCGCCCGAGCCTGAGCCGGCCGCCCCCGCCTAGATCTCCCGAGCCGCCGGCCCGCCGCCTGGATCTCCCGAGGCACCGGCCCTCAAGCTTCAGCCCCCGCCAGGTACTCTCTCTCTCTCTCTCTCTCTCGTCTCTACTCTGTTCTGGTGAGTTGAAGTGCTGAGCTGCTGATTGGTCATCGCCTCATCGGTGAAGTGGTCTCGTTAAGCATTGGCTAGTGTTCCACTGTTCTGGTCTGGTGAATTAGCGTGCTGACTGTTGAAGCTCTCTAGTCTCTAGTTTGCTGCACAAGCGAGTAGTGAAGTGGTGATTTGGTGAAGTAGTGAAGTAGTGAAGCTCTCTAGTCTCTACTCTGTTATGCACTTTGCTCAAGAACAGAGAACAGACCTGTTATGCTGAAGTAGTGAAGTAGTGAAGGTCTTGATTTGATTGGTCAAGACTCAAGAACGTATGCTTCCTTTTTTTTTGCAGAACATGGCTACTCAAGTTGATGAAGCCATTGGTGCATCACGTGAGCTTCGAGGTCGTAATCTTCCTAGGACCTATGCTCGTCGTGCAAGGCATATATGGTTGAAGAAGATGAGGAAGAGGGAGAGGAAGAAGAGATCATTTTGGATGATGATGATATAGATGATTTTGGTGAACAACCAATGGATGCTACTGAAGATGGTGGAGAGAACATGGATGCTTCTAACGATCTCGATGAGTTTGCATTGGACAACTTTTGAGAGATGAGAGATTTGGAAGTTTGAGAGATGAGAGAGTTCTATGTCTTTTGTGCTACATTTACATTGCTATTTTGATTTGCTAATATTGTAGACTATACCTTTTAAGCTACATTTGCATTACCATTTGTCAATATAATTTCCTAATATCCTAGACTATAATGTATGTATTCGCCACGCCGATGTGTGTATGGCGTCGCCACGCCGCGCACCATAGACGCTGTAAAGGTGTGAAGGTGGTGGGTCACCGCGCCTCGCCACGCCGCCGTAAAAACTATGCCTTCGACTAACCAATTTCACCAACTTCGAAGGCTCGCCAAGCTCACCCCGCGAAGAAAACTTGTAACCCTTTCTTCCAAACTCTTCCAGGTAGTTACAGCCCAGAGCCTCCTCCATAAGCAAGTTTCTAACTCCAGATAAAGCAGCAAAATCACCAACCTTCGAAACAAAATCCGAGAGTGTGGCAAACTTGTCTGACATCCAGGAAAATATGTCACTAGCCGAAGCCTCAGCAGGAATGCCCTCTATAACACCACCAAACGATTCTATCATCTTGATGTATAAACCGGCCGCCTCCTGGCCTAAATTCTCAATAGCTTGCATCTTCTCATTCAAGTCATCAACATTCCTTTTCAGGTCCATAGCTAATGACCATTCCTTCGCTACCCGCTCCCAGAGGCCATCCACCACATTATTTTGCTTTTCCAGCTTGCTTTCAAGAACCTCTTTCGCGGATACAGAAGTTTTTAACCTCTGCTCCATATCAGCTAGCTTCTTGGCATCAGCTGACCTCGCCTGAGCACCTCTCTCGGAAAGCGAAGCCTCACGATCAGACAACAACTCTTGGTTCCGCTTCTCAAGTGCAGCCTTCTCAGACCAAAGCGTTGAAACTTGCTCGCGAAGGTTCGCGAGAGTCCCCTCCTGAAGGGTCAAGGTGCTCTGCACCTTCTCTTTCATACAATTTGCACTAATACAGCTCTGCAAGTGCAAAATATCATCACGAACCACCTGAGTTAAACAAAACCAATTAAGCTACACGAAGGCTTACCTCGTAGGCTCTCTTACGCATGAGCTTTAGAAGCTCTTTCAGGTCTAAACCATCCATGAGTTCCTCGGCAGCTGCTACAAGGAAGCGCGAACATCAGATACAGTAAAAAACCTTAACCACCGATAAAAATCGCTTCAGAACATTAACCCTTCCTCGTCGTAAATAAAAGTGCTGCGACTTCTTCATCATCCCGTTTGCGAGAAGCTCCATCGCCTGCACTGCCACCTGAGCAAGGGAAGAGCAAATCACGCATACAACCGCCACAAAACCAAACAACTTCGCACAAGAGAAATCATACTTCGCAGAGCATCCCCTGCAACCTCCGGAGCCCTTTGCACCCCCGCCGGAGCCTCCAGAGTCACCGAAACTTTCGGCAAAGCCTCCAAAGCTTTCAGAAAAGGAGAAAAAACTAACCTTCCATGAAGCTGTGGTGGAAAAGGAGAAAAAACTAACCTTCCCTGCAGAACTTCTCATGTCTCGGGGTAGTGATTGCATCCGTGGAATTTTACTGCGCGAGTCATGAAGAGCAGACTCGTTTGATTCTCTCTTCTTTGATGCATTGTCTGCAGGGCAAGCAAAGAGATCTGCAACATCTGGGAGGTCTAATGATGGTGTGGGCAGAGAGACATTGCTCGAATTAATCGGTGCTACACTCCTGGACCAAAACAACAAAAACAATAAGTTAAGGACTCACCAATACCATATCAAACCTAGATAGCAATGGCGGGAGTAATGGTAGTAATGTACTGTGCATTTAGGAAACTGACAAGTAATCAAGTAGAAAAATTCTGAATAACACTTCAGCATACAGCTAGAATTGTAGATAGACACAAAAAGAAACAAAAACAAGCCCAGGAACCAAAATAAAGAGGGAGCAATGAAATATAATATAACAAAAGGAAGTACATTCATACCCAATACAATAAGAGATTAGATGCAGAAGGGAAGTGTCTGCTTTAAATAACCAATACCAATTGCAATCTTTTTGCCCAATAAGCCAAAGCATCAAAGGGCATCCAACAATCCAACTTATCCTGTTAGGAGTACCATTTATTTCCTTTTTCGAAAACAAAGGGAGAAGCTCAGAGACAAGGCAAATATACTCTTTCAGTCTTTCTTACTCACTTGCTGGAATGTAGACAAATTATATGCCCAGGCAAAGGGAGCAGAACAGGCATATAATCTATTAATCAGTGGCTTAGTGCCTCATTCTGATGACAAGCAATCTGTATAAACCATGATAAGATCATAAGAGAAATCTAGTGCTACACAGAAACCACTGCCAAATTGGTTGGGTCTTATATAATATTTCCAGATTGATTTATACTGGCATGCTAAAGTAGAGAACATAAACATAATCATCATCTAATTGTGGTAGATGGTGAGCATTAAGAGGAAGGACTGCAGAACCCAATGCAGTAGCAGTATTGAACAAATGCATTATTCCAGAAGTTACATGCAACTGACTTGTTCACATATAGTTAACGAAATGCACTCTACATGAGGCCGGTTGCATTCATAAGACATCATCAAGCATTCCAAACATTGCAAAGTAGGGAATAACATCGTGGTCAATGAGATGTCCCTGAACCAACCTTATCATTTTAGTTACACTGTTTAGTTGGACTAAATCTGGCTCCTTCGAGTGCTGCTAAGTTTGTGAATGGAATGCATTGATTAGAGGTTTATAGAAGTCTAGAACCCATCTTGATGACCAGATATGTATAGAAGTGTAGAACCCATGGCTTTGACTTTTGAAGCTGCATAAATAATCGCATTCCTAAAGGTGCACATTGCAAAACGCATGCATGCCAATAATTCCGAATTGAACCTTCCTTACGAGATATGCCGTGCTACTGTGAGCTACGGAATATAGGGGAAAGCGAAACAATGAATTGCAGCCTCGTATTGATGCAGGGTTTGCGAGTACAGTGATTCGACAGACAGTAGCTTCAGCTTTCAGTCCAGAACACTCAATCAGGCAGCCCCGTCAGCTGGTCACCTACCAAGCAACGCCGATCGCTACAAGCGAAACCCTAGAGAGACAGGACAGCGAGGGGGAGGCTTACTGGCTGGCTGCCGGCGCCGGCGCCGGCGGCAGCGTAGGCCGAGGACCGGTGCCCACCGCCGTCGGAGGATACGGAGGCATCGGCCGGACCGATGGGGGCAGGCTGTGGCGCCGCGGCGGCGGGAGGTTCGCCGGCGTCTTCCTCGTCGAAGGAGGGGTCGTAGTCGTACTGTCGTAGGCGACGACCAGCGACATCGGGTCTCCTTTCAGCTCCATTTAGACGTGGGCTGTGGGCTGTGGGGCCAAGAAAAGCGAGCCCAATTGGAGTCTTATCTTAGCTTGTTTAGCAAAGCTGTGGGCTTTTTGGTAGGCCGAAGCCCAGTTTATTTCAACAGGCACAACAGCCCAGGTATGGGCCTAGCTTCCCTCCAAATTCTTTTTTGAAAAAATAAACCAATAATTATGGATATGTTTAATTTTGGATCTAAATGGGCCTGTATGACAACACGGGATAAGTTTGATAAATGCTCATATATTTTACTCTTCTTTTTATAGAAAAACCATTTACGTGTAGGAGACTAGGGCTGTGTTTGGTTTAGCTTATAGAAATTACTTCTGCTATCAAAAAGCAGAACATCAACCAGATATGTGGAAATTGAAGTTGCTTTTTCAGCCGTTGCTTTTATGTAATTTGGACCCTACTTTCAAGTTCTCTCTTTCCAAATGAACAAAAACAGAGAGACGTTACATAGCGGTTTCAACAGAGGCAGAGAGAGGGGATATGTTTTATAATTGTTTTAACCAAACAACTTAAAACTTTTCCACGGCATATAGTTCACAGTTGTTTTCCCATAACTCATAGATGAACAAAGAGACACTTGAAGTACTTAAAGTGGCTCATGTGCCCATCGTTCTCCAGGGAGTGCTCCTACAATGTGATCTCATCGCTGACAGGCTAGTAGATTGACATGCAGGGTGGACCCAAAATGTAAGAGCCTTTAGACCAAGGGTCTGCTTGGTTGGCTTCCAATTTTTTCCCAACCAATATCATTGTAAACCAAAACTTAGGCTTGCCAAAATCAAGGTTTGCCAAAGTTAGGGCAAAAAAGCATGTGTGCAATTGGTTGAGTGTTATAACAATAGTAGAAAGCATCTTTTCTCTCTTATGCAATTCAAGAAGTTTCTAGAAACTTGCCAAAACTTTGGCTATAAACATTGGTGTGCCAATTCTTTGGCAATGCATCAATATGGTTTTGGTTAGGCAAAAATTAGAAGCCAACCAAGCAAGACCCCAAGTCTTAATTAACAAAAGCTTCCTTTGAATTGAATTGAAAAAATAAATAAATGCGACATATCCAAGTAGACCTGCAATTACTAGGTTGTTAATTGGACGAACTCACCAACATAAGGTTCAGTGGCCATGTCCACCAGTATGTTTGGCTCCTTAGCTTCCATTAAAAGCATGCTGTGGCTCCTTACCTTGCCTCCTTTCCTTTACAATTAAATGGAACTATGCTTTTTGGTTATGATGTTTTCTCGATTTTCAGGGGCTCATCATGTATTTTGTTCAAATACCTCCAAATCTTAGGTACGGTCCTGATCGTTGAGCTGTGCTAGCCTAGCAATCTATTCTCTTTGTCCCATAATACTTGATCTTCTAAATTTCTACGTTTGTCACAAATTAGTTATCATTTCACTTTACAATGTGTCCTTTTTCTTTTTCAATACATCTCTGTCATTATCTCTTTCCTTCTCGTTTCCCTACACACTACATTTTTCACTTCTTTTTATTTTTTGTCTCGAGAGCTAAAACATCATCGGTTATGGACGAAGGGAGTACCATAGTGGAGGTTGCAGCTGACAACCAAGATGAAGAAAGGGCTCAGGAGCGTATGGACGGAGGGAGTACCGTGGTGGCGTGGTGGAGGTTGCAAATGACAACCAACTAACCAAGAAAGGAGCTCATGGGCGAACATGTGCCTGAGAGGGACGTCGGTATGTTTCGCCTCCGCGGAGCTGAGCTAGAAAGCTGCAACTGCAACTGTCCGTCCGGGAGGGGAGGATAGCGATACTTGCCCACTCCCGCATGTGATGTACATGCTCCTGTGCCAGTGTCAACGAAGACAGACAGCGATCAACTCCGTATGCTGCCATAGAATCGCATATGCCATATGGCCATATCAATATCCCCATCTCCGTCGTTGTAGCTGGCGCATCTGTATCGATCGTAGTCGCAGCAGTTCGTTTCATCACTCTATCTAAAAATGCCATCTTCGTCAACAACCAGCTCGGGAGGCAGCGAGCGAAGCACTGAAGCAGAGGCTTGTCCTGTCCGGCTGTCCCTCCCCTCTGCTCCTCCTCCCCCACTCCACTCCACGTCTCCGCTCCCGGCCGTCGCTCCCTTGCTCATTAATGGCGGGCACTGCATGGTTGGCGCCATCCATGCCCATCAATGCCTCCACCCACCTCCGGGCCGCCCCGCCCCCATCTATCTACTTATACAAGGCGATCGGGCGCTTGCTTCCAATCCAGCGCCGGCCGGGCCGTTGCGTCCAATCCATCCCCATCCGCCACCCACCCCGCGCCCCTCCTCCTCACCCCAATGCCGGCTGCCGGCCAGCTCCGCCCCCGGGATCCCTGAGCTGGAGGTGGGTGGCGACGTAAAGGCAGCCGCTTGCGTTACTACTGCGGTTCATCTCCCTGCGACCCTGCTACACATCGGTGCCGTGCCGTGCTTGATTCTGTTGTGTGCTGTGCTTGCCGTTTCTTTGGTTTGTAGGTGGCGGTGGATGACCAGCTCTTGGAGTTTTTTTTTCCGTGCTTAGCACGTGCTTCATTAAGGGAAGTGGGAATCAAGGGCCGAAGGTCTGGTTGGCGAGTTGCCATAGACGCGATGGGTAGAACACATACAAATATCACCGGCTCGAACGGTGGAGCAGCAAGGTCGTAGTGGTGGCTAGACTAATTGTGCGAGAGCTAGGGAAGCCCGCTAGGCAGCAGGCGTGAAGAGCGGCGCGAAGCTCCGGAAGCCGGCCGCTATCCTCGGAGTTTTGTGAGGGGAGGATCGGAGGGCGTTGCGTTAGGTCCGCGGTTGGTGAGCGGCGGTCGGAGCGGTCTCGCGCGCGGCGGGGTCGTTGGGTGATGCAGGAATCGGGCTGTGGGAGGGTGGGAATACCTCGCGCTCGCGCTCAAGGTGCTTGATTAATTACCTGGCGGAGCGCGCGCCTGTGAGCCGAGCCCTTCCTGCTGCACTGACTACTGGGCTCGGGAGATGGTTGGGAGCGTGCACGTCAATGGATCGGTCCACGGTGGCAATGGCACGGCCACGGAGGAGCGGCTGGACGAGCTGCGCCGGCTGCTGGGCAAGTCGGAGGGGGACCTGCTCAAGATCGTCAGCGTCGGCGCCGGCGCGTGGGGCAGCGTCTTCGCCGCGCTCCTGCAGGACGCCTACGGCCATTTCCGGGACAAGGTGCAGATACGGATCTGGCGCCGCCCGGGCCGGACGGTGGACCGCTCCACCGCGGAGCACCTGTTCGAGGTGATCAACTCCAGGGAGGACGTGCTCAGGCGCCTCATCCGCCGCTGCGCCTACCTCAAGTACGTCGAGGCGCGGCTCGGAGACCGCACGCTGTATGCCGACGAGATACTCAAGGATGGGTTCTGTCTGAACATGATCGAGACGCCACTCTGCCCTCTCAAGGTCGTCACCAACCTGCAGGAAGCCGTCTGGGATGCCGACATCGTCGTGAATGGGGTGCCGTCCACCGAGACGAGGGAGGTGTTTGATGAGATCAGCAAGTATTGGAAGGAGAGGATCAGTGTTCCAGTGATAATTTTCCTCGCCAAGGGAATAGAAGCCTCGTTGGATCCAATACCTCGTATCATAACACCTACTCAAATGATTAGCTCTGCAAGTAAGAATCTCTCTTGTCTCTATCTTGTCCCTGCCTGCGTATTTTAAACTGAAAGATTCAATCACCAAGTTTCCTTGAATGATCTTGGTTGCTGGAAAAAGATTACGATTTGTGGCATGCATGATAAGCTGCTTGATCAAAGTGTTTGTAGTACTTGGCTATTTGCTAGTGTAATGTTTAAATAACAGAATTCCTAATCAGTGTACAAAATGCTATCATGTGGAAAGCTCATTTCTGTACTGAACGATCTCTGACAAACGAACCTGATGTCTATAGTCCACGCTAATAATTTCAGTACGTTACCTGCCATGTTACCATAATTAGATACAGTAATTTGCATAATTAATGCCATTAGCTGCTTAACACAGTTAGTTTGTGGACATGCGCTCACCAACAACTCATTCGTTCCATAATTAGTATCAAACTTCCCCCTCCATTTGGAGACTGCACTGAATTCTGATTGATGTGTTTACCTGTCTGTTCCAATTCTCTATTTACCATTATGAATTTATGGTGCGTTTTATGTATACTGGAAGCCAAACACACCAGAGTTGTAAATTTATGGCATGATCATGACATGGTGCTTATCTTCAATTCCCTGATGGAAGGAATGGTCTTGATCTTGACATGCATCTGGTTCAAACATATAATCAGTTTTTTTGTGCTTAATGCTTGGCCTGCATATTTGAGGTCAACAGTACAGGCTGATATTTTTTAGGAATGCATTGCAGCTGGAGTTCCAACTGAGAATATACTCTATCTTGGAGGACCAAACATCGCCTCAGAAATTTATAACAAAGAATATGCAAACGCTCGAATCTGTGGATCCAACAAGTGGAGGAAGCCTCTTGCTAAGTTTTTGAGACAGCCACATTTTATTGTCTGGGACAACAGTGATCTTGTCACTCATGAGGTGATGGGTGGTCTGAAGAATGTCTATGCAATTGGCGCTGGTAAAACTAACTTCTATGTCTTTTTAGCTGTCAACATTATTGTACAGTTGGCATTCTACTCCTTGATGTTGAAGAAAACATGACAAACATGGGAATGTTTTTCTTTGCTCAAATTTTAGTTGATCTGTTAATGGTCATCCATCGGGCCATCACCATGACCTCTTTGCCTGAATAGAGTATGGGTGTGGTACACTAAAATCAGAAGGGCTCCTTAGAATTTTTTCATAAGAAAAGAAACAATCGAATTGGAAAACCTTGAAATAAGGATATAGAGTTAAATGCTTGCTGCTTACTTTTCGATAATTTCCATTCTTTGAATGAACGTTGAGTACCTATTTTATCATATTTCTCTTTATGTTTCAGGAATGGTGGCAGCTTTAACAAATGAGAGCGCAACAAGCAAATCTGTATATTTTTCTCATTGCACGTCAGAGATGATATTCATTACTCATTTGCTGACAGAACAACCTGAGAAACTCGCTGGTCCTCTGCTGGCTGACACTTATGTAACTCTCCTAAAAGGTCGCAATGCATGGTATGGGCAAATGCTTGCCAAGGGAGAGTTGAGTCCTGACATGGGCGATAGTATCAAGGAAAGGGAATGATTCAGGTAATATAATGAATGTGTTTTTTTTTGTCTTGTATTATTGATTCTGAGAATCTCTTTAACAAATGTTGAAAGGCGAAGATTGCAGAAGATGTCAAAATTTCCTAGATATTTGATAACCCTGACATTTGCAACCATCCCTTTTCCTTATTTGCACGGTGTGATTCACCGTGATCATTTTGTCATTCCATTGGACAGGGTGTCTCTGCCGTTGGGGCATTTTTTGAGCTGCTTAGTCAACCCAGCTTAAGTGTGCAGCACCCAGAAGAAAACAAGCTGGTTGCTCTAGCTGAGCTATGCCCAATCCTGAAGAGGCTTTACAGAATACTGATAAAAAGGTTTGTGCTATGTATCACCATTACTCTCCACATAACTGGAAAAATTTACAGTGTGCTTGAGGAGTGAAAAAGTGACCACTTCTCAATCATGCATTTAACTGCTTTCATTTTACCCTTCTGATATATACCTGACTTGTGAGCAGGGAGCTCCCAGCAAGGGACATTCTCCAAGCCCTGAGGGATGAAACGATGAATGATCCTCGGGAAAGGATTGAGATGGCACAAAGCCATGCATTCTACCGCCCGTCTCTCCTTGGAAAACCATGATCTAGTTAGTCCTGTAAATTAGTAGAATATAAACGAATGCTGCATGAAATCGAACTCACCAAGCTTGCCCGATCATTCTTGGTCGAGCTTGGAGCAGGTATCTCCGCTGTGCTTGCTGTCCTGTGTCCGAGCTACATGGGGCTTTGTTAGTTGTCCAATTCTTTGTGCTTCCTCATTGCCATGGTGTACAAGAGATTACTAAATCAATAAATGCTCTAAGTTCGTATCATATGAACACCCAGTTGAGAGTACCCAAGGAAGATTTCTTGCTGGAAATTGGCATCGTGCAATGTGTTGTGTGGGTGTGTGAGTGTGTCTGATTTTCACAGTCAAGCTGGGTTTGTTTGCGGATGCTTTTCTCAGTTTTCTGCAATATTCCTGCAACATAAAGAACTCACAAGATGAGAAACTTGCCCGTTATGTGCTGGCTGGCAGATATGTAACTCTCCTAAAAGAGCACAATGCTTGGAACATGCCAATGGTTGCCAAGGGAGAGAATTAGTCCAGGCATGGGTGTTAATATCAAAATGCTATATAACATTATCAGTACAAGAGATTCCCTTTTTATGTGACTAGATGGTTCAAAGAAAAATGTCTTCCTGGAAATTACTATTTTGTGGCGTCTCAGACCGTATATTTCCTTGAGTAGAAGGCCATGTGTACGTTTTAACGTTTATTATTATATTCATCTTGTAAATAAAACACTACTATTTATGTTGGCTTTGGAAAACCTCTGGCTCTAGCGCTAGTTCAGAGGAAAAAAACCCCCCGACATTTTTTCCATTATATACGCGGTTTCGTGCTTTCGGCCCATATCCGGCTTGATAAGGCCCACCGAGCCTCGGATATTTCCTGTCTCTCCTTACCCAACGCCAGTCAGTCACCACTCCGGCCTCCGGGAACTACCCACTCGATCCTCCACATCGCCACCGCATCCGAACTCGGAAGGCGAAGCCGAAGCCGCGGCGCGGATCGAACGATGGCGGCGGCGCTGGAGCAACTGAGCAGCAGCAAGATGTTCGACGGCTTCAACCTCCGCTTCCGCCACCAGAGCGCCACCCTCGGCTGCGCCATGACCTTCTCCATCTACATGCCCCCGTCCCCGGCGTCCAACATACCCGTCAGTGCGCCGCCGCCCTCGCTCCCCTATCCTCCGTCTCTCTCTCTGGGCTAATCTGTGCTGTGGAATGTGCGGTGTCGTATGGATGCTTTGCAGGTGCTGTACTGGCTCTCGGGCCTCACCTGCAACGACGAGAATTTCATCATGAAGTCCGGCGCCCAGCGCGCCGCTGCCGCCCACGGCATCGCCCTCGTCGTGCCTGACACCTCCCCACGTATGTCGTAATCGAATCCCCTGCTCCTTCTCGCTGACAGCGTTATGTTTCTAGGGTTTATGCGTGCCCATCTATGTGTCCGGTCCGGAAGCGTGGTGCGGTTGCAGAACAGGATGCTTAACCTTGAGAATCGTAATCTCGCTAGTGGCAGGGTTTATTTGTTTCCCTATTTGTTTTCCTCTTCCAGTAAGTGGCGGTCTGGCATCTAATGTTTGCCTGCATAGTCTGGCTGACTGCCAAATTCCAATGTGTAATGAGAGGCCCATTTAGAATCGATTGTGTTATCACTCCTTTTGATAGGTTCAGAATGCAACTGGTTCCTACCCTAAGTGCAAAGACCAGAGTTTACATTTCGAAGATGTTAGTAGGCACATTTTTTGAACTCAGTGGACCTAATGTTTATCAAATGCTGTTCAACTTAAAAAGTGTCACCTCCCCAAAAGGGAAGAGTAACCTGACATGCTCCCCTGTTGGGGATTTGTCAAGCAAGATTGTAAAGTTCATAGAGGTATTTGTTCATTGCACTACCACCTACTAGTGACTTTTCACTATTGTTGGTTCGTTTACGTGGCCTAACCAGCAATTGTATGGTAGAATTTAGAGCCATTTATTTACATGAGGTAGTTCATCCTTTGTTATCTTCCAATTAGTTTTAATACCAGAATCATCCTTTCTATGACTTGTCAGGACTTGTATTGACTTGGATTCCCAAAAATTGATTCGATAAATACAATGCTGGTGGTATATTATAGAGCTCAAGGAACAAGGGTTTACTACCCAAAGTGTTAATATCTTACAGGCTTGTGTTATAAGTAATCCCACCACTGTAGGTCCTTTTTCTGAGATTGGTATGAGCAAGACAATCTTATCAGCAGAAGAGTCAAAGACATCCCTAGAGCACTTAGGAATTGCATTTTTTCCCTTCTCCCCAGCCTAAACATAGTTGACAGTTTAGAGCTGAGTTTAGTGACATAACCAAAGTAACGATTGTTTCCCAATTTACCATATAACTAGGGTCCTGTTGATCACTTACTGCAGTGTATGTTCCTTTTCCTGCAAATGATTTGTAGTATGCTCAGTGTGGTCTCATTTCTATTAATAGTCTTCACCTTTCATCATTGAGAATACACTTTATATATGCTTATTATTTTCTTACTGTAAATGGGTTCTGTTTTCTCATTGCTCTTTTTCTTTGGCTTATGCAGGGGGGTTAAATATTGAAGGAGAGTCAGACAGCTATGATTTTGGTGTTGGTAAGGAATGGAGGATTCTAACTAAGATAATCTTGCTATAAGTTTTGCATTTTGCACAAATATATGGTCTCCTGACTTGGCAAACTTCATTAAATGTCCAACTTGACAAGTTACCCCGTGATGATTTCATTATGCCATCATCTGCCTCCCTTAATTGTTACTTAACAAATTCAGCAGGAGCTTATAGGCTAGTCTGCATTAGCTCACTATATGATGGTACCTTTTTTAGGCAATGCATGAGTTTTGTTGTGACTAGTGTGACATGTATAAGTCTGTTGCATTGAGCAGCACTTTCACTAGTCCAATCTGTACTAAAGTTAATGGTGAACCATGGCACGATAGATTGCTGCATGATATATGATTTGTGTATGGTAATATCGAATCTCATGAACACAAATACAGTTGAAACAAAGGCTAAATAAATTTCTATAATCTACTCTAACTTCCAAGGAGAATGGTTGCTAAGTGCATAACCTAAAGCCATTTGCCCTTGGTTGGTGTGCTTATCAGTTATTGCATATGCCGTAGTCATGCATTAGCTATGCAGTATGGATACGGATACGTGTATCATTATTGGAAGGATACGGATACGGCAATTTCCTGAAAAAAACCGATACTCGGATATGTTTTACTATTTTAAAATAAAAAATATTAACACATATTAAAACTGAATAACAATAAAATGTTGCAATCTACTTAACTACTTAAGTTATATTATTACAGCACAGCTGGTCTCAAGTCTGTTCTCAAATTCTCAAATATAGTATCTCAAATTTAGGAAATTAATGAAAGGCATTCAGGCTTGCAACTCAGGCTCGCATCAAGTTCCTATTTCCCCATTTGTCTCATTTGTTTCATTCTCATCCATAACATCAAGTCGCAGATCATCCAAACCAAAAGACACAACTTGCAATTTAGGCTCATCAAGGGAGAGGTCGGCCACTTCGAGAATGCCAATACCACCAAGTGAATCAAAAGAACCTCCTCCCACATCCCTCATCCTTGTCTCTCCTGCCTTGTATGCATCAGTTCTTCTTGACAGATGCCTCAGATTTGAGTGCACAAAGACCAAATCTTGAGCACGCTCTGGAGTTAAGGAATTTCACTTGACACTATGGATAAAGCTATATGGGTGGCTGACGAGCAGGGGCTAGGCGTCACCAAGCGTGTTTGTTGGAGGCGGCACGAGGTGCGGGCAGGCGGGCGGGCATCGGGGGCAGAGGGAGATAAGAGAGCATTGTTTCTTGCTGGGCTGGGCCTTATCGAATAGACAGATATGTATCGGCCCACATACTCAATATTCAAAAATCGGATACTCCGAAGATATGCATTGCCCGCGTATTCGTATGTGATACGTATCCGATACGCGATACGAGGCCTCAACCATGTATCCATGTAACACAGTGCATTAGTACATCTTTCTTTACCTATTTATCTACAGTGATCTACATCAGCACTTTTGTCGAATCATTCGTAACAAAAACTTATCAAATTACAAAAGGAGAATAGCAATCATGGAAAAAAAAAATTGGGTTCAATTACAGTGCACCGAACTTGGTAACCTATCGATAAAGTAACAATAGAAGCAACATTCAATTTGTAAGAACTAATCACGCCAATTCCATATCGATGTATCTAGTGGTCTGGATAGGAACACTGCTTACTTCCTGTATCCCAGATGGTTAATATTTTAGAGTTCTAGCTATACAGTATACAATTCGTTTGTGCCTTTTACCAATTATTGTGATCTTGTACCATGGTCACCCTGTGTTAACCTAGGTAAATTTTAGCATATTTGAAAATGAGTGTGCAGTGTCGCTTTGTTTGTAGTGCCCTGTGCATGCTCATGGTTATACAGTAGCTGTGCATGATGAGATTCTTTTACGTGTTTTGAGGAAGAGATGGAAATTGGCACCCTTATTATACCAAGTAGGTTATAATAGTGCTTTAGTAGTAAGGGGAGGTCCATTACATTCTGTCAAAGCATTACTGTTGGAACATTGTGCAAACACTACTTGAATTTGGTATACACTAGCAGCTTGGATGATTTTATTTCTGCACACTCATTCAGTATGGGTTCGAGTCATGGGTCTCCTCGCATTGCACAGGCGAGGTAAGGCTTGCCACTAACACCCTTCCCAGGACTCTTGACATGAGCGGGAGAGCTCTCAGACTGGGTACGCCTTCATTCAGTATGTTAACATTTTCTTTTTGTTACTAGGTGCCGGGTTTTATTTGAACGCCACAAATGAAAAGTGGAAATATTGGCGCATGTATGACTATGTTGTGAAGGAACTTCCAAAAGTTTTAAGTGACAACTTTGAACAGCTTAACACTTCACAGGCATCAATTTTTGGGCACTCAATGGGAGGGCATGGTGCGCTGACAATTTACTTGAAAAACACTGATAAAT